CTAATTGGGATATTATTGAAGATACCCAGCATTTCTTTTTAGTGATCAGCATAAAAGGAAGATTCCTTTATTGGAGCCATAATTTTTGAATTCATAGTTATAGCCAAGACAAAAGAATAATACTCATGAGCCCGGCCTTGTGTCTACAATAAAAGTAATGCACAAAGAAGCAAGTTTGGCAGTAGCAGGCCGATGCCATGGTGCTTCAGCCTCAATGGGCATGATTTGGGTAGGGGAATGAACGATGGGGTGTGTACTTGTCACCTAAAAGTCCTTGGAAGATGTAAATGCTCAAATTTGAAATATGGGCAATATTAGCCATAAGTGGCTAGCACCAGAAATAGTAAAGAAAAAGTGAATGATAAAATGTCATTAAGAGTAAAAGAATAAAAATGGCATCATGGTAAGGGAAACATTCAAAATCTGCATTAAATGCTATGGTTCATAATACAAGGACATCCTCTGCTAAGTTTAAGAATCTTCGTTATGTGGAAAAAGGTGTAGAATGGGAAGCCAGCTGCTCCGGCCCCGTCTGAGTGCGGTGATGAGCACAGGAGAGCAGCGAGGCTGTGCCAGAGGGGTGCGCTCCCAGTATGTCCGTCAGGGCCCTGGGAGACCACCTGGACACAGGCCTTCTGTGGGGTCTGGGCTGTGCTCTGACAAAAGGGTCTGCAGAAGACGTGGGGTCCCAGTTGTGGCATAAAGGCCCTTGAAGACAGAGGCTAAGCGGAGGATGGCTGGCCATTGTGACTCCCAGTGAGGGCTGAGGACACATTTCTAGAAGGTAAGACTGTTCTTGGGTCACTGGCATCAAAAGCATGCCAAAGTGTGACTGACTTCCTACGTCCACGGCTAGTTTCTGACTTCTCTTTCCCAGAAACTCCTGGTTTGGGGCCATTATTGGGTTTACTTATTCTAGTGGCTGCAAATTTTAGGTTTAGGTACAGCTAACATGAAAATAAATTAATTTATTCTGTTTCATGCAATAGAACTACATCGGTGTAGACTGTGTACAAATCAAGACATTATTGAATGTCCAAGGGGAAAAACCAGAATGGGAGTTCATGACCAGCCTGGCCGTCCCGAGTACTTCAGCCCATGGAGGCAGGGGCTGGGTTCGCGGGGTGGTCGAGCATCTGACTGTCTCCTTGTGCTTCTCGGTGGGAAGGCTCATTTCCCAAGTTTCTGTGAAACAGGAATGTCATCCTTCATCACTGTGCCCTCCGTCTCATCTTCAAGTTATCCCCAAAGTCATCGAACCAAACCCTGATGGAGATGAGGGTGGTGTAAGGCCCTGAAAACAAGTTTAACAGGAAGAGTTAAAGGAACTGGCAGTATTCGAACGATCCCACTGGAGCTTGCACATTAGGTCTCTTGAAGTACGTGGAGGCTGCTGAGAAACAATAAACTACATATTGTATAAATTCTTCAGAAAGGAAAGATGAAGTTCAAAAACACCGAGTATCTCCTTGAAGCAAAGAATAGCATTAATCGGTAAATTGCCGTCTTTTCTGAGATTGTAAGGCTAAGTGTTCTGGTAACGTCTTGCTGCGTTACAAATGACCTCAAATCGAGCGGCTCGACATGACATCTAACAATAACATATCGTACATTTCAAAGTAGCCTGATGTGAGGACTTGAAATGTTCTCCACGCACAGAAATGACAGACACTCGGGGTAATGGGCACCCCTAAATACCCTGACTTGGTCCTTACACATTCCGTGTGTATAACAAAGTATCACCTGTACCACATAAATGTATATAAATATTATATATCAATAAAAAATAATTTTAAAAGCCAACTGTTTAATCATGTCTCATGATTTGGTGGGACAGGAATTTGGACAAGGCTGGGCAGGGTGATTCTTAAGTGATGTCAATTGAAGTCACTCGGTGGTATTCAGCCAGCAGATGGGCTGGTCTAGAGGGCCCCAGATGGCCTCCTTAGCGAGTCTGGTGCCCGGCGGAGGTAGCTGGAAGGCTGAGCTCAGCTAGGACGGTTGGAGCGTCTCCATGTGGCTTCTCCAGAAATGGTGGTGTTCTAGTAGTTGAGCTTTTACATAGAAGCTCAGGGCTTCTATGAAGATGATTTCAAGAGACAAGAAGTAGAAGCTGCCAGTTTCCCAAAGCTTGGGCCTGAGAACTGGCAGCATAGTTTCTGTCACATTCTGTCCATCAAAACGATCACTGACCCTGCCTAGAATCAAGGAGAAGAGAGGAAATGTGGACCCCACTTCTCGATGGAAAGGGTGATAATCATTTTATGGTAATTTAAATTTGCCATCTTCAGATAACAAAATCTAAATCTTAGTGTATTTTTTTTTTTATTTTCTTGCTGTATCTACTCACTGTCCAAATTTGCTCACACCGGAGAGAAGCGGAAAGAATCCTCTTTGTGCAGAGGTGTACACTTTTTACTAATAGAGAATACTAATTAGGAGCCCTTATGTTAGTTTCAGGGCTGGTGAAACAGTGCTTAGATAATTCCTTAAGTCCTAGAATAATGACTAGTGTGAAAATTAATGGACGTTCATGAATTGTATCAGCAGCAAGTTTAACAAGTATCTTTTAAAAATGTGCATTGTCTTTAGAGCTAGATAATGCTTAGTATAATTCCTGGCAATTGAGGGGAGCACAATTTCCTTGTTCCTTTTCCTAGCAAAACTGGGGTGCTTTGTTTCTCATCTATTTATGTGTTTGTTTTATAAGGTGATTTCTTAGAGACAGCTTTTGTTTGTGTGTTTGTTTGGCTTGTTTTCATTCATGTGTAGAAAGGCAGGTGCTTATGAGTCTGAATGAGCGGAGGTGCTGAGAACAGGGGGACTGAACCGAGGTGGGAAGGGATGTCTCCAGAAGCAGCTGTTCTCTAGGGTACTGAGGCAGAGAACTTTGCCTTGGGTACAGAAGTGAGCATGACCTTTGGGGCAAGATCCTGGGTCTTGAGTGGTCCCTACCCAGGGCGAGTATGTGGGTGCCCCAGTGTTAGCTTCTGGGGACTTGTCTGTCCACACTTCTATTAGTGTTTGACATGGACAGCACCCCACATGCTAGCTCTCCCACTGATCCACTTGGGCCTATGCCAGAGCCCAGCTGTGGCCACATCTGTCATCTAACCGCACTCCATCCTCTGCTTGCTTGACTCTGTCGCTCCTTGACTCATCGATAGCTTTTATTATAGTCCCAGATCCAGTTTGTGGCAAGCAGTCTCTGTTAGCCGCACTCCACAATACAGCCCAGAAGGAACAAATTCTCACTCCAGGAAGTACTCCAACTAGGACCCACGCCTGCGTTTGTGGCCCTGCCTCTCCGCGCTGGGTACTCACCATCTCTCCACACCAAGCTGACTGGGGGCTGGGCTCATGTTCTCTCCAGGTTGTTACGTGAGCTCCTCTCTGTTAAATGGTCTCCTACTTACATCCTATTCTTTTTTTCATGATTCAATCTAAACCTTTCCTTCTTTATTTCTGGTGACATTGGGGAAATCTTCTTCAGGCATCCTTTTGTCTTTATTCCCACGGTACGCTGGGCATTCCTCTATTATTATACCTATCCCCTAGTTCTTTATCTGTTTATAGATCTTGCATCTCCTCTGCCTTATGAACTCTTTCTGTGTGGGGACTATGGAATTTTCATCTTTGAATTCCTAGCTCTAGAATGATAACTGATGCACGCATGGATGGATGGTTGGAATAGAGAATGGATAAATGGTGGAAGGTTGGATGGTTGGATGAGTGGTAGGGGAATGGCTAGATGGAAGAAGAGGTGAATGGATGGATAGTTTGGATTGGTTGAACTATTTATTAACCTTATAACAACATTGGATAGATATTCACAAACAATGACCCTCCACCTGGGATTTTGTGACTTTTAATTGCCAATGAGTCTAGCACAAACTCCATTTCCCTTGACATTCTTAATATAAATTGGTATATACTTTTATTTGTTGTTATACTGCAGCTGTTCAAAGAGTCTCAAAGTTGGTCTTATGTCAGCATTCTTAAAACTCCAAGGAGATAACAAGAGCAAGTGGTGATTCTGAAACCAGAGTTTGTTTTCCCTACTCCCACCCCCAGCTTGATTTGCCATGACACAAGGCTCTTCAGGCTGTATGGGGTTCTTCCTCAACAGGTTGGAAATAAATATATTTACTTCTTTCACAAGGTTGATGAGGTGAAATTATTTGAACAAAACACAACTATCTATCTATCATCTTATGTGTATTGTTGTTAGGGTGTGTTTGATATATCCCCCATAAGAACCTTGTGGAAATATAAATATTATTACTCTTCTTTTGTCACTGAAGCTCTAAACACAAACAAGGATTTGTTTAATAGCACTGAGGACCAGCACAGGCAGAAACTAGAGCTCATAGTCTCTGCCGCTATCTGAGACACATTGCTTGTTACCATTGCTAGAATATGATTCCTAGAGCCACAGCATTCTCACACCGTGTGGAATCCCAGCTATCAAAGAGGATGGGCTAGCTCTAATGTAGGCGTAACAAATAGGTTTCATCTTGTGTGCCGACTCCAAATCAGTTGGTAGTTGCTATGGGGACTTCAGAAGGACTCTGAGGCCCTATCTGAGCTGCAATTGTGCAGTTATGTCTGCCGTGATTATACATATTCGTCATATATTTTCCATTCTTGTTCTAAAACTGTATCAGGCATTCATGATGATAGATCTCCATGTCGGCTGTCCACTAATTCACCATAATGGTTCATGAGACAGTTCATAAGAAAATATCTGCAGAGATTTTCAAGTTTCTGGAAGCTGGTTTTTGAACTAAATATGCAACTTGCTCTTTCAGTGAATGTGGTTAATAAAATGGAGAGAGAGAGTGAAGAAAGCTAACTGTGATGTTAACACCGATTAGAGTAACTTTCTTTAAAGGACAAATGCGTGTCTTCCCATCCGGGGTGGAGGAGGGTGATTTCTCAAGCAGGTCTAGTTAATAGTGTGTTGTATTGAAAATTAAAAACATTCACGTCTGTGCAGATGCAAATATAATCAGATTAACTTTATTTTAAGCTTCTATTACATTCTAATTAATAAGAATATACTAAGTTAAGCCAGTTTAACAGGCTAGAAAATGCATTTCATGTTAAAATTGGGTATTGGAAGACTTGGCAAATGCTAGGAGACGACTTAATGGAGTTATGTATGATGCATCCATAGAGGGGACCAGCTAACCCTCACAGGTTAGTGTTGAAGGCTCAGGAACCACGTCAAAAGCTTAGAAATGCAGTTATATAAACCAGGGTATTTCATTCTGGCTTTCCCCGTAGTGTGCTTCTTCCCACTGTTCATTTTTTGCTAAGAATCACAGTCTGCTGACTTAAATCACACCCTAGGCACATCAGTGGGAAATTCTGACCATAAATCAGCCTTGCAAATAAATACCATGGAGACTTGTCTTTTGGTGCTTTGGAACGTAATACAAAGATGTCAGTGTCCTTTTTCGTTGGGTCAGAACTACCACTGGCTATTTGCAAAGCTGAGTCTATATTACCTCTCAGCACCTGAGTGCCAAGCTGAGGTCCCAACATGGGCGATGGGACGGACCAGAGAGAGTCAGTGGCTGCCGTCCTTCCACATGTCTGGCCACTAGATCTGCCAGCTTCTCCAACCTGTTGGGCCTGAGCCTGCATCAGTGTGTGAAGGAGAAGATCCCAGAGAGACAGGTGACGTATAATCCCCAGTTAAGGAGACTAATTCCTCACTCCTCCAGTATCAAACCAGCCTCTTTACTTTCTAGTGCTGCATCCCAGAAAGAGTTAAACTAGGGGATACTGCTTCCTGCCGATCAGGCCACAGTGTGACACCTTCTATAAAATGCACCATAAACTACATTATTTAATAGACCCGAGTATTGCACCTGCTTTCTTAGCTCCTCTTAGGTGATTAAGTTTCCCACAAATGCAATTTGTTAATGTGGGGCCACATCTTCTCACAAGGTAAATCTGTGAAATTTGGCAGGCAGCCGGTTGGCTTCAAGTGCAAGATCAAAGACCTTTCCCTGGCTATGCCAAGAAGAAAAATGATGTTGCTCTCAAGTCCTGGGAAAAATATTCTGACATGAGAGTAGAACCCAATTCCAAGAAAGGGGAATAGAATTCTAGAGCCCAAATCACTGCTCCCTTTTAGGAAATGTGTTGCCCCGAAAGACTGGGTGGGGAACGACAAGTCTCAGGTATAGATCAAATCCTCCTGCTAGAGGCCTTTGATATTTGGAGCTGTAGCCGTTCATGATGATAAATGATGACTTTTACTCTTATGCGCTATGAGAGCTTAATTAGAGTTTAAAGCTAATGCTCAGAATCCTTTGGAAGGTGGAGACATTAAAAACTAACTTCCATCCTGAATAGCCTGGGTTTTGAAAAGTAAATCTTTGAAATACATGGCGTCAGCACTCTGGGGCCCTCTCTGGTCCTGTCTGGGTCTTGACACCTAGGTTAAAGCAAGAGCTGACTATGTTTGCATTAGAGTTTCCTTAGCCGCAGCTACAGGAGGCCCAGAGCCCGGGTCCACCTCAGCCTCCTGTGCATTTACATGGAAGGTCGTCTTTGAATGTGCAAGTCCAGCTCGCCGTACACATGTCTCAAGGAGTCACTGGTCATGCTGGCTATCAGCTTTCGAGGGCCAGAGACCCAAGGCCGACACACTTCTTCCCATTGCACGGTGGCGTTGGGCCGGATTTCACTGAAAGGATGGAAAAGAGAGGAGAGGTTGGCAAATCAAACTTCCCACCTTGATCAGGAAGCAGTGAGAACCCTTGCCCGGATCTCTTACTTTCTTTCTCTCAGTTGATGGTACTTAGTGGACTGAGGGGCCTGGCTGGCTGATTCAGTAGGTTACAATCCGAATGAGGTCCCTATATGATGCTCTGCACAGCCTGTCACCGACAGTCCCCCTGGGTCATGTTCCTTCCACTGGGATACATCGGTGGCCTCCCAGGAGCTGTGAGGAGCTGGCTGAGCCCCACTCAGCCACCAGGCAGCTGAACCCTACTCTGTCCCCTGGCCCTCCATGGCAGCCTTAGCTATGTGACTGATTTTCTGCCTCAGCTCTTTTTTTGCCACTCAGTTCCCTGCTTGGAGTGGAGTCCTATCTGAATCCCCTAGCTGCCTTTGCTGGCACCCTGACACTCCAGGCTTAGCCAGCCCCCTTGGGATAGACCTTGTTTTCAGGCCCAACATCTGGAACATAACCCTGCCTGCTGCCATCTGACTTTGAATATCTTCATGTCCTGTAATTTGTAATTCTGTTTCAACCACCAGATTGGGTCTCTCCACCCATTCAAATTTCTGTTACTCATTTTTCCCAGTGCTCTAATCTGTCCTGATAATGACGTGGCCTTTCATGGTCCTGGTGTTCTCCTTCCTCCCAGCCCGTGCCCTGAGGTCCTCCTGAGTCTCAGGGACAAGCCCACTCCAGTGGATGATGGAGGTCAATCAGGGTTGGGGAGATTTAGGCTTCTCTGGGTGCTTCATACATATATACATCCTCCCCCATAAGCCTTGGGAGGAGATTATATCCAGGTTTTACACGTGTGACGGTCCTTCGAGGTAGATACTATTCAACACATTTTATAATTAAGAAAGATGGAGGGTTAAACAAGCGAAGTTACTTTTTCAAGATCACATAGTTGGTAAATGGACAGAGATGAGATTTGAACTGAGGTTTATCTGAGTCCCAAATCCATGTTCTTTCTATTAATACTCCTGCACATTGAATTTCATACTATATTCTACAAGAAAATACTTTTTCTGACCACTGTGCCGACTTCTTCACAGGTTTTATTTCTCAAGACAGATCCTCTTCCATTCAGTATTAAGAGTTTCCTGCAAATGTTCACAGAGCATTCCTGACCTATGCTCTCCGGCCCTCAGGGAGGGCACGTGCTCGCTGACCTGGCCTGGAACCCTGGCTGCCCTTTCTCTGGGAGAGTGGAGGGAAGATGAAGTGAGACCACCATGAGTGCCTTGAAAAGAGGAAAAAGGAGCCTGACTATTTTCAGGCTGTTATTGCGGCACAGCAGGTCAGAGTCAGAAAGGACTCGAGAAATCACTTAGTCCAACTGTCTCATTTTACAGAAAAGGAAACTGAGGTCCCAAGGAGCCTACACAGTCTCCAAGGGCACAGAACCCAGTGGCCCCGGTAACAGAGGAGCTGGGATTGGAACCAGCTGCATATCCTTTCTAGATTCCTGTTAGCAGAATAGAGTTTATGCTATTTTGCATTTCATGAAAACTTGAACATCAGGAAAATGAAGGATGCTAAAAAGACTTGACTCATAGAAAATACTGGCTGCTTCCACCAGGGATGACACAGCACAGTCTGCTCCATGTGTCTTTGTACACCGTAGTGCATGACTTGCTCCAAATACGACTCGTTCGGATGTAAACCCAGCTGATTCTCACGGTTACTTTACGGTCGCTAAAATTGGCACATACTGAATTTGAATTCTAATGGGCTCAGGGACCTAAAGCCTCTGTAAATACTTAGCAATTTTGCGTGGTTAGAAATTTTGAAATTGGAGACGTTGATAGATACGCAATGAAGAATACCAAGTAAAAAATGGTCTTGTTTGTCGTGTGTTTGCAATACGGTTCCATAATGAACACTATTACATGTGGAGTTTATTTAATGGTTATTTCTACCTGTCAGATGGAGCTACAGAGAGAAAAGCAAATTGGAATGAATGTATCCATTTTTCTAAAAAATCAGACATTGCTATCTAAATAATGTGAAATGACTGGCATCCATATAATGAAATATCATTTACTGAAATATCGTTTACCACGGACTCTAGTGTCCAGGCACTTGTACTCAAAACTTAATTCTCCCACTTACCAGCCGTATAAACTTAGGCAATTTATTGTCCTTCCCTAAGCCTCAGTTTTCTCATCTGCAAAATGGGAACCATTCAGTGTTTACTCCATTGACCTGCTGTGAGAATTAAGCAATCCAAGCCAAGTGCCCGGGACAGGGCCTGGTATGTAGTGAACATTCAGAAAACCTTAGCTGTTGGCATTTCACCATACTAGCTTCTTTATTTGTTTGTTCACATGACGACAAATGAGTGCTTCAGCTGCTCCTCCATCTCCAACACTCACCAGATGAATGTATCATGTGACAAAATTTTCCCAAATCAGCAGGTTATGGTGAAATTTATGCAGGGGCAATCCTTGGGCTATTTGCAACTTCTAGGCTGAATAAAAAATGAAGGGGACGTTACCTACACGGCTGGTTTAGTCAGTAGCTGTAGATGAATACACCTGCTAACTCAGCCCTTAAAACAATGTTTATGTAACGTTAGTGAGTAGCCTCCATTCTGTGCCAAACTCTTCTCCCCCAGTGGCGTGTGGACTTGGAGAGTGGCCGGGGTCTGGACCATGCGAGTGTGGCTGAGTTCCAGTACATGCCTGTCTGAGCATGCAAGAGTTCTCAGTTCTCCCTGGTCCTATATTCAGATGAGTGTAAGGTTGTGGGGTAAAGATTGAAGAGGAAAACGGAATTAGCAGTGCAAGGTTGAGTTTCTAATCCACCCAATAAGAAAGGCATTTTTACCCCTCAGGTAACAAGTAACGAGAGTACACTTCAAAGGCATAAGTGGCTTCCTCTGGATTGCACGGCTGGGAAATGGATGACCCAGACAAGAACCTGCTGTTCACACCAGCACCTACGCCACGGGAGCCGGTGAGGGGGGCAGGGGCTGTGGGAGCAACTGGGGTCAGAGAAGGACCGTGGGACTTCGAGAACAGAAACGTGTCAAGGGACCTGAAGAGCATGCTCGTGCTCAAAAAAGAGGAACGGGCTGTGCAAAGGAATTCCGTGGCTACATCCACAGATCCCTGAGACAGCACTCGGGGGCTGGAATGAGGCACTTCATACCAGTCACAATGGAGGGGCTGCGGGCACAGGAGCCGGGGGAGACGAGCTTTGGACTAGGTGGCTGGGGGAGGAGTTGCGAGGAAGGGGAACTGTCAAGGGAAGTCAAGAGTGACTCAAAGGCCCAATTGCCACTTCGCACACAGCTAAGGCGAAGGGGGCGATCCGGCGCCATACACCTGTACGTTACCTATTCCAGGTAAAATTAGAGCCCCAAGATTTCCTCGAATGTCAGTAAAACAATACATATTTCAGCTGGCTGTGGGAGTACATTCCTTGGGGTATAAAGGGGAAAGGCCCCAGATCTCAGAAGTTGAGACCCCAAATAAGAAATCCCTTTCTCTGTCAAATCTGTGGCTAGTTGGTTGGAAAGGCATCTACCGCCTTGGGGAGCTCTCTCTATGAAGCTGCTCCAGGCGTTGACTTTGACACTGACAATCTAAAATGTATACGTTAATTTGGTATTTGTTAATACTTTTCTTAATTTTTGTTCTTTATATATGTGGCTAAGTTATTTTAATCAGTTATATAAAAGCCAAATTATGGGAAAATGCACACAGAGGTAACCTATGTATGTGAGTATTTTGTCGAACCCAGTGAACTGGCTTTCCGATTCGAGGTTTGAAAGACACTGACCCCATCGCTTCGTCACCTGTAAAAGGTGGACGCCGTGGGATGCTGAGCAGGGGGAGGCGAGGGTGGGCAGAGTCAATATTTGTGCTGCTCTGAGAACCACGGCAAGACACGGTAAGTGCCAAGAAGTGTTAGAAATTTTATATGTTCTTCTTTTTTTAATTATTATTATTGCCTCCATCGTTGTGGTTATTGTTTGCTCTGCCGGAACTCTCTGCAACATAATTTAGGAAAGTTTCTCCTGCCTGTGTGCAGAGAGACAATCTCTGTCCTTAATTGACAGTAATCAATTCAACATGAATAGTTTGAGATATTTATTTCTCAAGGCTGTGCTGCTGTAACACATATCCATTCATTCTCTCTCCCCTGGTTTCCCCAAGTGATCAATCAGTGTCACTTTGTGAAACGGTTATCCCGCTTCAGGATTTGACCCGGGACCATGTACTGTGGGTAACTGCCCCAAAGAGAAACGAAATCCCGAGCGGGACCTTATCATTTGCTCTCCCTCATGGAAGCATCCGCATAATGGTACCTGCACGCAGAAACACTCACACACGAAGACACACATGCTGCCGTTTTTCCTAAATACGTAACAGAGAGAGAGAAATCATTTACCCGTTTTGGTAAGTGGAGCAGTGCTGGAATAATCCTGTTTCCTGGGATGGACGCGTGATGGATGATTCTCAGTCATGTGCTGAGCCATCAGGCCGCACCGGCCATTTATCATCTCGAATGCACACAGGCAAATGGGACTATTATTACAATAAACTGCAACTACCTGCGGTTGTCCTCTGTGTGCCTAGCCCTCAGCTTCTGTCCTACTTGGGAAACTTAAAGTTTAAACCCAAATCACAAAGTCAGGGAATTTTTTTCTTGAAATAACTTCCTGAACCTGATCATTTTTTAAAGAGAAAAATGAATCTGGAAGGTAAACTATTTGATGCTCTGGAAGCACCGAGTGTAGAAACCTAAAAGGTAAGAGTTTGTGGATGTGGAAGCTCCGCGCATCTCAGACAGGCAGGAGGCAGGGGGACAGCAGGGAGGTGAGCCCGCGGGGGAGAGGAGTTGGCTCTCGCCCCGAGTGAGGAGCGGACACGGCCCTGCCTTCTTTGTTCCTGGTTCCAATTCTCTGCTCACCAGCTCCCGCCTTCCAGGCCCTCTGCCGTGGGCTCACGACCCCCTGCCTTCTAGACACCGCGTCTGGCAGGGGTGTGGGCATATGAGTAGCGGCAGTATTTCCCGACAATTTGAGATCTGTATCCTGAAGGGAATACAGTCTCGCAAAAGATTTTGGCTCTGTGGAATTGCGCTTTCTAGGGGTCCAAGTTGTTACATGAATCTGGCATGCCTAGACCAGATCTCAGCACCACGGGGTGCAGTGGGTGTTTCTAATTATCTGACCATGTGGAAGTGGGTGCTGGCTGGCTCAGGCCTTGGCTGTGAAGGTGTGTGCTGGAGTCAGGAGGAAACAGAGAAAGCAATGCTTGCTCTAAAGCCCTAAGCCCAGCCTAGATAACAAATCTTTCCTATATCGTGTTTTTCCCCCCAATTTTTGAATATCTCTGAAAAATAAGGCTTTCTTTGCCTGGGAGAGATTCCACCCTGAATCTGGGTTCTCATAACTATTCAGCCATAGAAAAGAATGAAATCTTGTCATTTGCAACAACATGGATGGGCTTGGAGGACATCATGTTAAGTGAAACAAACCAGGCACATAAAGACAAACACTGCATGATCTCATTCAAATGAAATCTAAAAAAAAGAGATGATATCATAGAATCAGAAAGTAGAGCAGTGGCTATCAGAGATCGGGGAGGGAGGAGGGAGGAGAGATGAGGAGAGATTTGTCAATGGGTACAAAGTGCCAACTAGGTAGGAGGAATGAGTTCTGGTGTTCTGTTGCACAGTAGGGTGAAGATGGCTAAGACTGAGGTATTGTGTATTATAAGATAGCTAGAAGAGAGGCTTTTGAATGTTCTCACCATGAATAAGTGATAAATGCATAAGGTAATGGATAGACTAATTACCCTGATTTGATAATTATATAACATATACGTGTATCAAAACACCACACCATACCACATAAATATGTATAATTACAATGTATCATAAAAAAATTTTTTTAAGAGACTGAGAACTGTTATGGACTAAATATTTGTATTCCCTAAAATCCATTTGTTGAAGCCCAAACCCCCAATGGGATAGTATTTGGGGATGGAGCTTTTGGAAAGTAATTAGTTCAGGTGAAGTCATGAGGGTGGGGCCCCCATGACGGGATTAGTGCCCTTATAAGATGAGACACCAGAGTGCTTGCCCTGCCTCTCTGCACTGTGGGAAGACACAGTGAGAAAATGGCAGTCTGCAAGCCAGGAAGAGAGCCCTCATCAGGAACCGACTGGCCAGCAGGCTCCAGACTGTGAGAAATAAACGTCTGTTGTGTAAGTCCTCTGGTCTCTGGTACTTGCTACAGCAGCCTGATTTCAGAGCTCCCAGCTTTCTCTCTGTCCACCTATCTGCCATAGCCCTATGTGATGGTAGTAACTACTAATAGGGCCTTAAGCCAGTGTGTGGGCAGGACATCTGCCTTGTGTTGTGCAGGGACCAGCCTTGCCCATCCTTTCCCTGATTCATCCCACTTTGCCCGACCCCAATGTCATACGTTAGCAGCAAGCAAAGCATCTGGAGACTTAACCTACTTTGGGCCCTATGCCTCCCAAATGGGGGGGGGGGCGGGTCATTGCACTGTGTGAGAATTCCTCTTTTCTCTAAGACACAGAATGTCCCTTTTTATGCTTTAGTTTTGATCAAGGTGGGATTCTTGGGACCGCCAAAGTGTAAAGGTAGCAGGAGGTTCCAGTACACAGACGCAGCTTGTGGAGTTACTGTTTGAGAAAGAAAAACTGGGTACAGCAGGGAGCTGTTTGAAAGAGGAAATGTATTTTACTCTGCCGGAGTGATTCTTGCATCTGATTCGAGTGGGAAGGTGCGAGAGTGGGTGAGTGAGACTGTCGTTTCTGACAAAGGTGGGGCTATCACTGCTGACCCCTCCTTCTAGCTGGGGCTGATTACTACTTTACTTTCTTTTTTTCCTTGCAACTTTCCCATTAGCACAGCAAGGTTGTTATGTTCTGTGTTTGCATTTTTTCAAAAGCACTCAAATTATTTTCTCTGTTGTTCATTGCATCCGCAATCAAGCATGCTTTAAATGATGGGATGCAGAGCTGTGAGCACTGTAACTTGGAGGAAGCGCAGAGAGCCCTGCACGGGCGATGGAGTGTCCCAGAGCGGGCAAGTGAGGCCTCTCACTGTCCCACAGGTTCCGGAGTGCGGCAGCTTTCCTAAAGGGCATTGGGAAAATTCCTAACGTAGCTGGTCATAAGGCAGTTTCCAAAGTCCTCCGCCCCCTTTCCGTGCCTTAGAAGGTCACCCCTACAGGAAATGTGCTTGATTGATTGATGCTGACAGAGACTTATTGTGGTAGAAATGAAAGTAATAAACCTCAAAGATTGGGACCCATTCTGGGTGTCACACTTTAAAAGAAGTGCTGACAAATTGGAATGTGTGGGAGAGAAACCACATTAGCAGAGAAAGATAAAGTCAGGGCAGATATTTGGCCCTGGGTAGAAAAGACGCAAGGAAAGACAGCTGTTTGCAAACACCTATAGGCCGTCCGGTAGAAGAGAGATGGGCCTTATTTCGTGTCAGTCCAGAAGGCAGAATTAGGATTGCTGGTGGGATCAAAAGGTGGAAAGACATGTTTTCTTATCATTAGAGCTACCTGACCACGGGCTATCTTCTTGGGTGACTCTTTGTCAGGGAAGTCACAGAAACTGAGACATGTTGAGCACAATCTGATGGTGTTGTGTGTAGAAGAGGCTGAGTTTCATTCATTTTATTTCAGAGCCTGGGGTAGTCTCTGATCCCCTGAATCAGAAGCCAAGTCTGGAAGTCCTTAGGCTCAACTGAAAGTACCGCAACAGAAAGCAACAGTTCTGGACAGTGACTGGGTTGTGAGAGGGAGCTGGAAAGGAAGGGCCCATGAAAAGGGACAAGAACGCCTTCCAGCATAGTATCGGATGCACAGTAGGAACTCAGCAGATGTTAGTAGAACTGATACATGAGTAAGCAGTATGGCGAAATGATCGGGACTGGTTCTGAAATTAGCCACCCTGACCTGAATCTTGGCTCTATTCTTGGCTCTACTCTTATAAACCTTGTAACTTGGAGGTCAACCAGTCAAGCTCTCTAAGCCCCACATCCCTCAGCTACAGAAGGGAGATAATAAGGGTTCCCACCTCATTAGAGTGGTTCCAGGATTAAATGATGCAAGTGCTGGTCAGACCAACCCATTTTTACTCCACACCCTACCGAAATGGTCCATAAGGTAGCATCTTCTCAGACATTTTCACTGGGGATTAGATGTATGTTTGCAAAAGACTGAGAAAGAGAGAAAGCTTCCCACAGCCCCACACTGTCCGCCCACTGTCCCCCACCAGGGCTTACCGGAATGTCTTCCTCCTTGGTCTCAGTATTCCGGGACCATCCAGGTATAGCCAGACATTTTGCAGAGTTTCCTTCAGTGGGTTGGTGAACTCGACTGTCACAACCATGTCAGAGCCAACTACCTTAGCGCCACGGACCTAGGAAACGAGTGGAAGGAGAACGAAGCTCATTAGCAGGAAATAAAACCTCTTCCTACTCTTTTGTCTCCCTAACCATCTCCCCTTTTGCTAAAGGTTTAGAGTACGGCTACTGTTTCGGCCATGGAACCAGTGTGATGAGGCTAGCTTATAGCTTTGACTGGGGGATACCCTACTGAGAAAAAGATGGGAAATTACTAATTAGGATCGCACTCTTTTCTTCATTATAAAACCAACCTAATTAGAGCTCAGGCCAATAGCCACGGCCACTGGCCGCTCTCTGTCAGCAGGAGGTGGGAGTGCAGTGAGGGCTGCCAGGAGAACTTTGCTTCTGGATTAGGCTCAACTTTCCTGCCAGGACACAGGGGATTCCTAAGGTCAAGAGGTAGAAAATGCTCCGGGTGGCTTGTGCCTTTGTACTTTTAGACGTATCAGAAAGAGATACGTCCAATGAGGGAGTTCTTACTACTGAATGTGAAGAAGTGGAATCTGGACACTAAAATAGCGAAAAGAGATTTTTTTTTTTTTCTGCAGCCACAACATCTGAGTCCAGGAGGGCATAGGGTTGTTGTTGATGATGCTGTATAATGACCTCCGAAGGATCAGGTATTTGGCAAAGCATCCCAGGACGCGGGCGGAGCTCAGCGCCAGATGCAACACTTACTGGCAGTGGGGCCTTGGTGACTTATGAAACTTTCCAAGACTTGGTTTTCTTGTCTCTAGATGGGACTGACATTTGCATGGTGTGATCTATGTGGAATGCTGTTATTATTATTACATCTTACGCTGTGTTTACTGTGTGCCACATACTTGGAGTGAGACGTGTTCCCGATATAATCATGACGTGCTGCAAAATGGCCAGGTGGCTGCAAGACCTGTCTTTTTGTTTAGGGGATGTGGATGCCAAACAAACAGACCTGTTTAGGTCTAAGTGACTTGGGAACAAGATGATAGCAATAGTCCTTCCCTCTGAGAAAGGGCTGGGTTTCCGCAATGCACGTAAGGCAGCTGGCACACGGCAAGGCTTGCGGCAAAGGCCATGTCGTGGTAGCTCTGCTGTTTTAGAGCAGCTACGCTCTGGGCAGCTTGTCGTATTCCCCTTATATTTTAGCTCACGTTTAGCTCCAATACCTAGCCAGGGTCTAATAAATATTTGTTAAATTAGGTTGATAGCTCAAAAATAGAATTTACTGGATGTTTGAGTTTTTAATGTGACAATCTGGCCATTATCATACCTTGTTTTTCTTGTTTTTTTTGGTTCTTTTAGCCAGCATACAATATAGGAGAACACAAGTGGAAATGAGCCTTTCTTATGAATGGAAGAAAAGACAAAGGACGTGGACCAGAGAAGAGGACCCTCGTTTACTGACTCTACAGTAGAGAATAAAATCTTCCCGATTTGATCGTTACACATTGTTGGCATGTATCAAAATACCATGTGTACCTCATAAATACGGATAATCATTATATATCAATAGAAAAAGAATAAAATCTTATGGCTTTACTAATCAAGCCATGGTTTGTGCCTAAATTTACGTCTACAGGATTTTTTTAAATCTGCAAGAGAAATGAAACTTTAAGCCAACTCCCCAAGTTCGTTACATTTAAATCTCCATGCCCTGGAGGGGGGCAGTGGGTGGAGGGCTGGGTTCAAGGGGATCAGGGGTAGGGCAGACAACGACCACCATGGCAAAAATAGCAGGTGCACCTGGAGAGCATGGCTTGTGTGCCACACAGGGAGTCCAGCAGTCCTCAATCTGGTATATTTCATAAAGCACCAGGGGAACTTTAAAACAACAGACCCACCCCGAATAACGAAATTAGAATCTCAGGTGGTGGAGCCTGTGATCCATTTATTTGATTTCTAGGGAACATCCCAGTTGACAACAATGATCACATGTATTCTCCCATAAGCTTCCCAACACAAGGGCTGGATTTGTATCAGCCCTAGGGAACTTGGGAGAGAATACTATAATAATAGCTCTTCCCTTAAGAAGGAGGTTTTCTAGGGCAGGATCATTGAGGCCAGGCATTCTATTTTATGAAAGAGAAAACTGTGGTGCAGGGAAATGAGCAACTTGCACGAAGATAGGAAGCTACTAAATGACCAGGCTGGGACTTGAGTTGAAGTCCATCTAACTAGAGAGCTTGGATTCTAAGACACAGTCCTGGGCTCTGAGGCCAGAGGAGCCGGGGAAGCCGACAGCTCAGCAATAACCACTTTGTACTGAGGCCTGAAATGTCGGTCGGAAAGCAAGGGAGATGATCAAATTGGTAGGAGCAGTGCTGGATGTGAAGCTGCAATGACAAGACTCAGAATAAATAAGGCCCAGTGGGGAGGATGCTGGTTAAATAATGGACAAACTGGAACATGAAAGAGCAGTTACTTTTACGGCAGGTTGGCATACAGGGTGTGGAGAGAGCAGCCTCATTTGAAGGCTGTGGCAAAGCCAAGAGTCATGGTGTGGCCCAGGGCTTCTCTGCACCAGCTGTACTGACATTTTGGGCTGGACACATCTTTGTTGTGGAGCTGTCCCGTGCAATGTGGGATGTTCAGCGGCATTCCTGGTCTCCATCTCCTAGATGCCAGGAGCAACCCCTGCCCCAGTCATCACAACCCAAAGTGTCTCCAGCAATTGCCAAATATCCCTTGGGAAGTGAAATTGTCACCGTCCCTCCCCTCCCCCCCTTCCTCCAGTTGGGAACCACTGGTACAGACACAACATGTGGAGGACAGACTGAATTTTTCACTTTCTTCCCTGATGTCCTGAGTCGATCCATTTAGATATTGGGGTATAGAAGTGCATTAGAACACTTTACATAGTGCCCTGGTTTAATTCTCAAGTGTGTCCAATCTACTTGTCCTGCATTAGGAAAAATTTAAAAAAATCTTTGGATTTAAATAAAATACAAAGCAAAGATAACATTTACAAAAGCTCTTTCAAATGGAGAAGGTGGTGCTGCTGCAGAGACATCGTTGGTAAAAGTGTTTGCTATGATCACTTTAATTCTTTCTGGAAAGAATATTTTGGCACCATCTGGCTTCTCCATGTCATGCTATTATAAGTATGAGCATAAGCCCCTTAAAAAAATAAACCTGATAGTAGCTACTGACCCTCCCTCCACAGACATGCACAGTGACAAACAAGATATATACACTATGAGCGTGTATTATATTTTTGGGAAATGCGCTATAGACCCATGCAGTCTATATGTGGTTCTCTAGGGGCCCATGACCCCAGGTTAAGAACACTTTCCACATTGGTAGGCTAGCTCTACAAGAAGACCGTGATGCTGCAGAAAGCAAAGTACACCCTTCTAGGTCACTGATGACAGTGATAGGGAACATTTCATATTTGAAAGGCTGGCCCATGCGTTTGGGCCTCATGCACAGGCTTCAGATCTGAAGCTGATCAGAAGATGAAGCCTTCCTGGGTAGTTTCATATGTCATGCCTAATCAGTGTGCTTCTAGATATTGCCTCTGTAATTAGCTGCTGGCACAAGCATGTCAATACTGCCCAGACTTCCCCGATACTGGAGGGGGACGAAGGCTGGGGAGAGGTGGGGGGATGAGAGCAGAGGCCCTTCTCTGGTTGTGGTGTGTTTCTTTTGCGACTAACAAAGACTCTTGTCCATTTTCTAACATTTGTCTCCTGTGCTGAGAATTTAAACTTCCTGCTTCTGACTACTGAGATGATACTGGACTTTGGACACTCAAACCAAACTAAATATAAAAACCTGCCCATCACCAGTTCGACATCATTGTTTTCTGCTTGAGAAATTTAAGTGGAGGGGTCGCTTCCTCCTCACTTCTTTTGAGGAAAATGGAGCTTCCACATAGTGTTTCCATGTTACGTGTTGATTTAGGTGATGCACCATGCTATGGCATCTATGAAAGGCTGACAACAATGACTGTTATTGGAGAAAATGTCTGTTTGCATCGAATTCTTTTTGGAATCCGCACAGCTCCCTTTTCTTTATTGCTGTAAACATAATTCCATACCTTCGTCGTCGTATTTCTGATTTTCTTGCTCTCATAAAATCTTAAATAAAGGAAGCCTTCAGGCAATTTGGAAGAGGTTAGATCAAGAAGAAACTTTTATGTGTATTCACTTTAGAAGAAGAGTATCCATTACTTGAACCAGAGAAATGAATAAAGCATATGTCATATTCGGTGACACTGAATGTTTTTCTGCACATTGGATAGCAGTGATTTTTTCAATAGTCCATTTAAAATATGTCTGTTTTTAAAAATAGACCTGTAATATGATACGTTTCCAAGTACCACTCACCAACGTCAATATGCTGAGTTCTTGTTCTTTACACGATTTCATGATAATGAGCTGCTACCGATTCTTTAGCAAACAAGACAGTTATCAACACACCACACACACGCACACACACACACACACACTCTCTCGCTCTCTCTCTCTCTCGTGTAAACTTGTTGGAAGAATTTACTTTTTAGGAAATCACAAAATATCATCCAGTGAGCATATGCTTTACAAAATACATAACTATATTCAAAATTGAAACTGAAATGAAGGAAAAAGTTTGAGAAAGAATAAGAATGAAATAAATTGTCAATTTGATGCACATGATTTATTAGTGCACCCAACAGCCCCAATTTCAAGTGCTTTCAATCACGTATTCCCTGTATTACTGGGAACTGAATTTTCCCCTCCCTCTCAGCCCATGGTCACTGCTGGAATAAGCCATTTCTTGTTTGTAAACTCTGCTCACCAGCACCTGCACCGTCACTGTTTCTAGCTGACACTTAGATTAGCATTTACTAACTAATGGTAATGGTTCTACCACGGTCAGTGTTCTCACTCTGCGCAGTCCAATATGGTAGCCACTAGCCACCTGTGGCTATTTGCTTTTAAATTAATTTAAATTAAATGAAATGTGAAAAAAATTCAGTTCCTCCGTCCCACCAGCGACATTTCAAGGGCTCAGTAACCACCCGTTGTTGGTGGTTATCGCATTGGCCAGTGCA